ATTGATTAAATTATATCTCTTAAAAATAGATTAATATGTTTTACGATACATAAAAGTAATTAAAATTACATTTCGTTACAATAGTAAATTTTATCTGATATCATATGGGAGCGTTGCCAGTAAAATCTCATACACTCTGTTTTTAATAGAGAAGTAATCTCTTTTTTTTTATAATAAAATTGTTATAAAAAGAAATCGGACTTACTGGTTTTCTTTAATCATATGGGAGGTTTGCTATTAAAATCGTAGTTACGAACATAGTAAATCATATAATCCGTAACGTGATTTTAGCAAGCCTCCCATATTAGAAATGTCAATCAATAATGAAATATTCTAGGAAATAATAAAGTTTACCAGTTAAAACGATTAACATGTTGACCGACCGGTTAAAGATTTTTTTAACCGGTTAAAGAATATTGGCCGGTTCCGTACCTCTAATAAAGTTTTTGTTATCCTCAAAAACGATTCTAACGAAATTGGTGAATTTTCACTACAATGAAAATAATTTTAAAACTAAATGTTCCGTATACTTTAGTGCTTTAAGCAGATCTTGGATCAATAATGTATAATTAAATTTTTAAACAATTTATTTTAATTATATATTAATTTATATAATTTTTTTTTCACGGCTTTATTGTTGTCTTCAAGATATGGAAAACATCCGTTTTGATAGATTCTGAGTCTATCTTCATAAACGGTGTCAATGTTTAGTTTAAACTGATTCTTAAAGAGAACTCATTTAGCAACTATTTATTGGCGAACATCGATGCAGAGCGACTACCCATTTATATTTTTAATTTGTAATATGAAATTAATATTGTTAATTAATAATAAACGATAGAACGGGTAAATGAAAGTTTTAGGTTTAGACTTTGAAAATTTTATAGGATGTTAATTTTTAACGTCCCGTCATATAATTTCGTAAATGACTTTTGCCATATGGTCTTTAGCCTTTACGTAAATTTTAGCATAAATACTTTATTTAACGTAAACTTTAATATCAATTCCATTGTTTCAGTTTCAAATCAATTTTCTTCCTCTAATTCCATTAGAAACTAATACAAATCTTTACAACCACGAAAAGACGATGAGTTAAATGCGGAACATTACAACGCAACTTGTGATCATTATAATAAAGTTTGGGTAAAAGTTAAAGCCTAGCGCCTCTCAAATGCCCTCTTCGCAAATGAATGTTCAAATGTTCCTGAAGATACAGATTAAGTATATACTGGCGTAATAGACTAGCTACAATGACATACAGTACCATCTAATATTTTTGAGTGAGTCGCACACATCACTTTAAAATTTTTGCTTAACCCTCTAGACCATATTGTGGCAATTTGTAAACATAAAATAACCATAACTGTGAACAAATTTTTTGTAAATTGTCTTTCGGCCGGTTATTCTGTAACTACGAAAAAATAATTAGTTTTTAAAAATTGTTAAGAGTTTATATAATAAAAAAATTGGGCATACGCATACCATACGAAATTTAAAAAAATTGATCAGATTATTTTAATTTTCTTTTTTTTATAAAGAATTCTTTCTGGCGTTCAAAGTAAAATCACGTCCTTAATATGATTACATTTTAATCTAACATTCATGTTATTGCTCAAATATTTGATCAGATTTTAAGATATTAATTTAATTATTCTAGGAAATCCGATCTAAATTTCAAACCTTGAACTGAATTAATTGCAAACCATCAAAATTACTAAACAATTACAACGATATTTAAGCTTGGACAAGGTCACAATGTTAAGATACAATATTTACTAATTTAAAGTTTCGAGAAGCGACTATCTCCAAACTAAAAAATGTCTCAATTATCTGGCTGGTCACATCTTTTGCTTTAAAAGATAACACTGCTTTAGCCCGCACTAGCTACGTCGCCACTTCCCTAAGGAAAGCGAAATACCATAATAAATTGAATAAAGGACATTTAATTATTGAATTGATAATAATAATAATTTCCGAATCCCTTAATTTTATCTTATCAATATTAAAATAATTGAACCGCTATTCGAAGATAGAAAAAAAAGAGTCCCCAGAATTGAAATAAGTACAATGACATAAAAAATCGAAGAAAAAGCAACAAAAAATAAAAAACAAGGTATGTTGTTTTCCTATTTCTTACATCATTTTGTCAACCAACATGAACATTTACACAATGTATTCAATATTTCATTGATAAGATGACGTTCACAGAATATTATAATCCTTTGACCGAAATTATAAATTTCTTGTCATATGATTAATAAAATATTTTATTAATGAAAAACTTGTTCCTTAAATGCATAAAATAAATACATCAAAAGTTTTTAATTGATTTAAGTAGACATCAAAAAGAATCTTTGAAATATAACTATCTATCAACTGATTCAACCAATCCACTATCTCTTTAATTTATGATAAAAACAAAATAAAAAAAAATATGTAATATCAAATCACATCAAAATCCGAAATTCTTATAATCAAATCATAATACAACTCTTTAAAAGGTTGGATTTCATTAGCCACCCATTCTAAATTCTGATCACCACGAAAAAATAAACTTTTAACCTGATATGCAAAATTCATTACCTTCTTCTCACTTACAAATTCTTTCAAAAGCTCAAAAGTAATTTTAATATCCTTATTGTATTTATTTATAACCAGTAACCTGCTTAACCCATCAATGTGCTTGCAATTATCCAAAAAAATTTTCAAGTTGGTTGGATCAATTTCAAGCTTCAATTCTAAATATTTCAAAGAATCTGGTAAGATTTGACCCAAATTATCCAAGATCATGGAACAAACTCTTAAATGATCCATATTGATACTCATACAATCTGAAGTCTTGTTACTAAGGGAAAGATATTTGAGATTTTTGCGAACGTGAGTGATTAATTTAAAAAACGGAAGAATATCCACATGATCAATTTCATATAAATGAAGAAATTGAATTTTATCACAATAATTGATAATACTTTCAAAAACGATCTGTCTTTCAATATCTTCCCAAAGATATATTTCCAAATTTTCCAGAAAAGAACCGACTTTTTGAAACAATAACCGAATAAAATTTATTTCCATATTTTGACCCTCTAATGTTAAAGTTTTGATTTTAAGTGGAGTAGGAATGTCAAGTAAAGGACGAAAAACCTGAACCGTTACCCCTTTGCATAGTTTGAATTGAAGTGATTCAAGGTGTACAAGATAATAAAGTCCATTCAATGATGATATGTTTGTAAAATCACAAGAGTTGAATTTAATTGAAGTTAAAGTTTTAGAACAATACTTAAAAGGACTTAATAAGTAGGCTACTTGTGGTGATATATAATGAAGTGTAAGGGATAAAAGTTGCGTTTGTGATTGAATCAAATTTTCTAGATTCTCCTCAGATAGGATACCTTCCAAACCAAAATAAATTGTAAAATGCTTGTTTGTCGTTATCGCTGATGGTAAATACTTTAGTAAGTATTGGTAAGAAGAATTCGGCGGCAAAATACGAATAATTCCACCTTGTTTAAAATCTAATGTAAAATACTTGATGTCTGATAGAAATTTTGATTTCCTACATATTTCACTGAAAAAACTATTAGAAAGAAGTTGATCATAAGAAATGTATAAACATAAACTATTTAAAGAAGCGTCATTAATTATAAATAATTTAATTAATAATTCACAAATCGTGCTTAAGCGAATCTTGTGATCAACTTCTACGTCCATATTATCATAATGAATTATTGTTATAGTATCGAGATCAAATAAATTTTTCATAAAACTCAATACAAGTTGTTGCATTCGGACTTGATTTAAATTTTTAATAAAACTGGGGTAATTAAATAAAGGTTTTTTAAATGATTGTAAATTTACACACCCTAATCTCTTTAACCTCTCTTTATCCTCATCGTTAAGAAATAATAAATAAATGAACAGAAAATTACTTCTATCCCTTCCTTCTTGATACATAACAAAAAAAGGATCTTCCCAAAGTATGGGAATGGTAATCCTACATAAATTCCGATTGACTAAAGCACATGAATAAAGTGACCCAAAATCATTACGTAGATTTTGTATGATAGAAATTGTTATTTCCGGTAAAACACCGGAGAATAATTCCATATTGCTAGAAAGGAAGAACGTGAGAAGGAGATTGGAAATAAGGTGATTATATAATTTTTATTTGTTTCACAAAATGTTAATCAATTTTGTAATTTGTCGTCGCACAAATGTTTCTAACGCTATTGTTAATTTTGTAAATAAAAAAAAAATCATTGATTTAGATAATGCTTACCTCAGTTTCCTAATAATCGCTGCGAGTTATTTTTTTTGTATTTACTGAAATTCTGTGGCAAATTCGAATTAGTAAATAAATGATCGGCAATTCATTCGCATTTACATATCAAATATAACGAAAAATATTTTTTGCTTCTAATTAAACTCCTTCATACATTGCATAATAAGTTAAAAACAAATGTATGGTATTGAAAAATCATAAAAATTCATTTAAATTATAAATACCTTATAATTCGAACTTTAACCTAAAATTAAATTAACTGGAAATGACTTTTTATATATGAGTTATATATATCAATTTAGTAATAATTATAATGTAACACAAATTGCTGATTGTTACTTTTACACTTGATAACCGCAACGTATGCATGATAAATAGTCGAATCATATGAAAAATTTTCCTAATTGATAATTTTGCACAAATTAATGTAATCGCAATGTGAAATTTTAAATTTTACTTAATTAATAAATGACCTACATGAAAAATTCCAATTTATATGGTAACTTTTGTATATAAAGAATATCAAAGTAGCTTCTCAACTATTTGATACCCTTTACTTGACTGCTGCGGGTTATTCGATGTTTTTTTTTTTTTTTTTTACAAATTCTTAATTATATATTAAAGCATGAATACATAAATGATATTCAGATGATGAGCTCGACTTAAATTTTGATGAAAGTAATCCAATATTAACAAATGAAGTCACAAATATTGAAAAATGAATTCCTTGCTTTTTTTTGATGATGTTGAAGGACCTGAAATGGCACCGTCTCCTATTACTCATCATGATATTGAATCAGATAGTACAATTGAAAGTGACTGCAGTTTTGAAGAATATTTAGAAAGAAGATTATGAAGTAACAGATGTCGCCGCCAATTATGAAGTAGGTATATATTTTTATTATAATTTGTATTTATAGTTGTATATGGTTTTTATATTAATATAATTATTTATTTATAAAGACGTCTTACAATACATTAGAAATAGGAGAAGGTTATTAAAAGAAAAGGCATTATGCAAAATATATAATAAATTTTTTTATACAATTTTTTTTATTAATATAAATAAATAACTATATATATTTGTATTAAAATTTATATAATAAAGTTATAAATTTTTATAAAATTGTTTTAAAAAACCTATGAATTATAATTTTTAAAACTTTATTAAAGCTAAAATACATAATAGTTTTCGGTTAATTTAATCAATGTATTTATTATAAATAAACAAATAAATTTGTGTTTTTAAATAAAAAGTGTAAATAACAAAACTTTTTAAATTAAATATGTACTATTTAAAATAAAAAACTATTTTAAATCTACATATCAAATTAACTCTATGAAATAAATGACCGGAAACCTCAAAAACATATCATAAGAAAAAAAGAAATTTTTTTTTAAAATTTTGCAATTTTTTTGGCTAGGCTATAAGAAAGTTTCAATTTATTTGGAAAGTTATGTTTACTGAGATTAATGCAGTTGTTTTGAGGTTTTTTATTTTTTATCGCTTTATCATAATTTGTTAAAGAATATGCAATATCAGAGATATCAGGAATCACGGCTGCGCGATTGAGCGGTAAATAATATATTTCTTGGTTACTAACGCTAACAACCGTAAAAAAAAATTGAAGTTTAAAATAGATCTCGTGTTATTGACAATAAATAAATCATTTTTTTTTTTTCAAATATATTTAAAATGCGATCAAAATTTAACATTGCCACAAAGTTTTTAAATAATTTAAATTTACGAAAACATCCAAAATATTGAAATTTAAAAAACAATTAAATTAAAATAAGTCATATGTTCAAAATACAGAAAAGGCAATGAAAAATTGGATTAATATTTTAAAAACTTCTGAAAAGACTACAATAATTTACAAACTTCAAGATCATCAAAGATTCTCAAAATTAAAAACCAAGAGATTTATGAATCAATCCAACAAAATACAAATTTCTCAAATTACAAATTTTAATCACAAGATTTTTGCTTCCTAACAAGAAAGAGAAAACTTAATCTGAATCCTATCTTAACGTATACATTTACTAATTTAAGCAATAAACAAATAATCATTTCGTTAAATGTTTCCCACAACTATACCTTTTTTAATAAACAAGTTATCTCTCATAGATACTTCAATTATTAAATGTAGAAACACATGGATGATTTTTCCATGTGATAAAATCATATGCACGCGAAACTGGATTTTCTATTCGCCTTGGAAAATTAAACTATAAAAAACACTTTCTCAATATAAGAAAAACATCCAAACACCTGATAACATACGTAAAAAGGACAATATTATGTTCTCGTTCTGAAAACCTGATCCAACGAAAGTACGTCACTTGTAATTGTGAATTTGTTGTAATGGTGGTTTGTGGTGCATTATAAATTTAAATTTAAGTCATAATCACTCATTGTGGAACAAGCATACCGAAAGATCTATTCCGGATGATGTTAAAAGAAAGAATTATTTTATTATGATATATTGGAAGAAGAATTTGAAGGCGTATTATTTGGTCATATAACCACTTATACAATAATATTGAAGGCAATAGATAAAAGAAATTCGATGTAGAAAATTTTTAGGTTATTAGGTCAAATTAAAACAAGAAAATGAATTTTCTTTATAATACCTTATTAATATAAGCAAGTACCATTACCACATTGTTGGAAATTGATAAATAATGACCTAAATGACTTTGATGAATAATCACCGACAATTTGGTTATTCCAAAAGTTAAATGACCTGTGACATAAGTCATTAAAATAGTTTATAATAAATATCAATAGAATATTTATTTCTGGTACATAACGTTGGGATGGCAGATGGACTAATTAAATCAAAACTATATGTAGTTCCTATGAAAATTTACTATTATAACCTTGCCCTGATATTAAATTGATCTTTATAAGAAGTTTCCTAATAATTTGATGTATTTTCGCATCTCCATAACTTTGAATTCTTTGAATTTTCTTATCAAATACTGTGAAAATGTTCCAAATAAGTTTGTTTTTCATGTGATACCTTTATTTTTTCTAAAAAAAAAAAGATTCACAATTTGGAAATAATAAAGAACTACTTTAAGAACTATCTTTCTATGAAAAATTTATTTCTTGAGTGTTTCAAAAAAGCCATTATCCTTAAAGTAGTTATGTATCTATTTATGCTTTTAATATTACCCAATTATTCACAAGTTATCGAATTTAAAACTTGGGATTTTTTTTTAATGGAAACGAATTAAATTCCCAATTTGGAGTCATAATAAGCGATGATAAAAAAAAACGATCAATAGTTTAGCTCAAAATTAACCAATTACAAATCATGTCATTTGTACCTTATTAAGAAGATTTTTTTTAGCCAAATTATTTTAATTTTATTGAGATTGATAATGAAGAACCAGCAAATCAGGATTCGGTTATAAAGTTTCAAAAAGCTTAATATCTCCGAGCAGCCAAAAGGTTATCATAATTTTTTGATATTTTATTAAATGTAAACCACGTTATATTTTTAATGAATATTAAAACGACTAACCCGCAAGTCAAGCCGAGTAACTAAAATACGATAACAAATAAACTAAACAATCTCGCGTTAAAAAGCATTGTAGGTACTATCTAATAATTCATCATTCTTAAAGCACTTTATTATAATTCAGAATTTACATTCTAATGATACAATTCTAAATACAATTCTAAATACATGAAAATTTGTGAAAAGTTGTAAATCGTTCGAATTCCGTACTACATGTCTAAGTGAATAATTCTTCAAATGAATATAATTTTCTTTTTGATAGTGAAATTTTAAGACATTACAACATAAAAAAAGAAAGCTAAAAGCAATAGTTATTTATTACAGCTTACGATACTGCATGTAAAATTCGTTACCCATATTTATAATAATTTAAATTATTTTATTTAATATAATGACTATGTCAAGCAGTAACATAAAATGTACTTTATTTACAGCTTCATCCATATAACAACATAAAAATACAAATTGATACAACAAAAGAAAACACTTTAATATTAATTGTAAGTCAAGGCATCGCATTGTTAGCAGGAATCGCGTTTACCATAATTGCAAACTTTAGTACTATAAATAATGCATTCAAAGAACATATAAAAGCTCATTCTAAGAAAAAACAATCAAAAGAGTAATTACTCATTTTTCAATCATATACCACCTTTGCCACCATATTATCATAGTCGCATTGAGCAGAGGTGATAAAAATAAAGAAGGTCAATAGACCCAAGATAAAATAAGAATAATAGAACAGTTTCATGTACATTGTTATTTATCTTATAAATACAAGCATTTATTGTTACTGTCACATTTAATAATTCCGTCCGAAAACATCTTAATTTCGCATGTAGATTTTTTACGATTTTTGAGTCCTTTGTAGATCAATTTGACGATGTCAGGTTGTTGATGGGATGCCAGGCTGTCCTAATTATTTTTTTTTTTTTTTATAAATATGGGTGGTATCCTTAAACAACTCAACGTTCTACGCATATATACACTTTAAACCTTCCTTTCCTACCTTGCAATATATTACGTTTTCGCCGTTTTAACATTATAATTTTTTAAATTGTAAGTTCGTTTACCTTATTATTTTATTTTTATTTTTTGTAATTGCGCAGTTTTAATTAAATAGAGATTTATTGATTGGCAGATATTTAGTTTAATATATTGACAATGTGAGCCGATGTTGAAGCTACACTTATTAAATGATATTATTAAATAAATATATTTTCACAATTACTATGAGGAGGGAATTTGTGACTATCCACCATGTTCGTTTTATTAGAAAATTTGAAATTCAAAATAACGTCTTAGTTCAACATTTCATCAAAGCTGTGAGTCATCACAATATTAACCCATCTCTCATTTTTATTCAATAAAGTCCTCCTGCTTACATCACAAAATTTTATAATACATAAACGAAAGAACTGAATACAACATTACTATGCATATAAAATCAAGTTTAAAAATTACCGAAATATCTGATCGCTGCCATAAATTATTATTAATAACATAAAAAAAATCAAATCAAAAATAACCCGTATCTTCTGTCCCTAACTGCGTCTAACTTAGAGGAATGACGGTAATTTTCTCTCACAGATCCTCAGATAATTGCTGTCTTTAGGAACTATACGGGAAGATTACTAGGAAAATCAGGTTCCTAAAATTTGGAGCTTAATGTTTATTTATAAAATATTTTTTTTTTTACTAGAAGTGACTGTAATTGGCTTTAAGAAAATTCCTATATCTAAAAACGAAGTTTAAAACAAAATTGTCAAAAAAAAAATCGATACAATAATGCCGTTGCTATTAAGTATCTAGAAAAAAGAAATTAAATTTATTAATTGCCGTAACAAAGATAATTGTAGGTGAAAAAAAGGCTATTTCTTGCTCCTTCATTTACAATAAAAATAAAAATCAGAAAATTATGACGATACCTGAAAAAATCGAAAAAAAAATGTAAAAACTTTAAATTAAAAAAACTCAATCGTTGCCGCAGTAAAAACAAAAGAGTTTTTATTCAAGGATACGACTATTGTTTATTTATTTTTGATTTATATCAATAACAGGATAATTAAATTTTTAGTTAAAAAAAAAAAAGAAAAAAAAACATGCGAAATCTAACTCATAAATTTATATTTATAAAAAAAAATTTTTCAAAAAAGCAAACTTATCCATATCCGTAGAAACTCCTTACACAATGATTTTTTAATGCGTCGTTAAATTTATAGAAATGTCCAACAGTAACGATAAAGGTAAAGCGCCTTTATTTGACAGTTAAACCTGTGAGCATATTCTATTTATAAAAAATCAAATTTATTTTAGAGCCAGTTACAGATGTTAAAAAAGCATCCTCATTAGAAAATGTAGTAGGTGATACCATATTAAATTTTATCAAATTTGATAATTTCTATATAAATAATTTACTATTTACTATATTATAATAATTCGTTAATTATATTTATGTAATATAGAACAAACCTTGGTTGATGAAGGTGAATATAATAATATATAATTTCTACATATTTTTGTAACTAACATTAGTTTCAAACATATAAATTGTTTCAGGTGATGAAAATAAAAATAATAATAACTATACAATGATAATTTATTAATTATGTTTTTATTCAAATATAGAACTCGTTTCGAGTGATGAAGGTAAATATAATAGCAAATATAATTAATTAACAAATATTAACGTTAATTATATTCAAAACAATAGGATTAGATGGTAAAACATTTATAAATTACCTAAATATTATATAATCCTATAGTCTTAGTAATAATTTCTCAAAAATAGATACTTTATATTAGAACCAGTATCAGATGTTCCTAATGCTCCTACATTAAAAGAATTAAAAGGTAATAAACTTTTATCTACATATCAATTATTTATTACTAAACCAAATTATAATTAATTTTTTATATTTTTTAAATAAAATTTAATGGATGGTAATATATGAATTTAATTTATTTAATTATATATTTAACTTATACCATTTAAATTTAATTAAATTTTTACTTAAATAATTTTAATATAGGGAGTAAGTTATTAAAATCTTTATACTTAAATTTAACTAATTTATTTTTAATGATTTGATTAATAATATAATATTTTAGTTAGTAAGTTATTTTTATTAATAATTATATCATCTGCATGATTTAAACTTAAACTTTATTAAATAAACAAAATATTAATAATTAAGATGGTAATTATTTTTCTTAATTAAATTAATTATAATTTTTAATTATAATTTAAATAAAATATTAACATATTTAATATTAAAAATTACAGAAAGTAAGATATTAATTAGTTAATTAAATATTACTATATTTCAAAATAACTAAATTTTCATTAAAAAAAATATTTAAAATATGGAAGGGTTTCTAGAAAAATCAGGTTCTGAGAAATTTTTGACTTAAATTAAAAGCTTAATACATTTTAATCTAATAAAATCAAAAACTAAAATGCAATAAAAATTTCAATTTTGTTAAAAAATTCCCAGAACCTGATTTTCCTAGCAATCAACCCATATAATAGATGGTAAATAATTTATTGGTTATCAGTATTTAATTATACTTTTTATTATAATTTAAACTCAATTATTTAATAATTAAAAATATAATAGTTAGTAAATTAGTTTTATTAAATATTAGAATTTAATTATATAATTTAATTAAATAACTAAATTTTTATTTAAAAAATAAAATATATTATTAGATAGTAAGTTATTTTTATTAATTATTAAAAATTTTTTTTTATTATTTACTATAATTTAACTTAACTAAATTATTTATATAGTAGCAAAATGTAATTAAATTTTATTAATTATTAATATTTAATTATATATTATATTATAATTAAATTCAACTAATTTTTTATTTTAAATAATTAATAATTAATAATATAATAGATGATAAATTATTTTTATTGATTATCAATATTTAATTTTATTTTTATAGTATAATATAAACTTAATTAAATTTTATTTAAAATTTAGAATATAAGTTATTTTTAATAATTATCATATTTTTTATTTTACATAATTATATTT